CCCCTTTTCTTCTTCTTCTTCAAAGCTACTCTAATGGCGCTGAAGAAGACAATGAGGAGTTCTACCTCGAATTTTCAACGAAGAATTTCTACCTCGAAATTCTACTTCAATGGATCTCCTTCTTCTTCCATTTTAAACCTCTACTTCTCGCGGAATCTTCAATTTCTACCTTGAATTTATCAAATCATGAGAAAATTTGTCCCAAAATTTAGAAATTTAAGTACATATGCAATCATTAATTGTTTGAAATTTACAGTAATTGCAAAGCTTAAGGCAATTTGATGAAGGAGAAAAATTGAGTAGTACCTGAATATCGAAGTTGTAGATTTGATGACACGATGACGACGGTGACAGAGATCGTCAAGAGTTGAACAAAGACTAAATCGATTTTTCTTGAGTTATTAAGGCTGGCCACACGGTGTGGTTGTGACTAGCCACATATGAAAGTTTGTGTTCTAGTAAAGGTTGATATGGTATCTTTTCCACAATTAAGAGTCAACAACGTAAAATTCTTCCAAAGACAGTAGTTTAATTTTATTACAAATTGTAGGTAAGTTTCTATCGAACCTAGGTATAAATTTTGGCTATTTTATTTTAAGCAAGATCAGCCTTGTCTTTTCCTATAACTTTTATCTTATGCCACATTGGATTTTTAAATTAAATTAATTTTTACAATCTTGTTAAGACTCCTTAAAAAATCAATTTGATTGAGCTCTGATTCCTCAATCTCATTTTAGATTTCTTTAAAATATGTATTATGAAGTATTTTTTTTTCCTTTTAACATATTATACTTCAATAGGATATCTTTGTTTATATCATACATATATATGCTAATTATATTATGACAAATATTAACGTACAACAAACAACACCAAAAAAAAAAAAAAAAAATAGGTATATGATTAAGATCAAAATTGTGAAGTGTGTGTATATATATATATATATATATATATATATATATATATATATATATATATATATATATATATATATATATATATATATATATATATATATATATATATATATATATATATATATATATATATATATATATATATATAATATTAATGTTTATAATAAATTTTTTTATCATAAAATTGGGAAGTGTACTTTTCCATCAATATACATTAATATAGAAACCTAGGATTTTTAATTTGGGGCTTTTTAATTCAAAAACTTAATCAAAATACTTATTATCGAACATCATAAAAATCATCACAAATCCCAAAAATATCAATTAGATCAAGGATGGATTAAATTAAAACAAAAAAAATTTGTTCGAACACCGCACAACCACGACACCACAACAAGGCTGCTGCCACGCGCCCGCTGGTGGTGCCGTTGATGTCGCCGGCGTGGTTGCGGTGGCAGGTCGGCGACGTGTGTTGGTGGCCGACGTATGGTGTTAGTAAAATAAGGGGAAGGGGAATATAAGGGAGAGAAAAATAAGAGGAGAGGTAGAGAGAGTTACCTTTGAGTATTCTCTACATTGGACAAGGTTCAATTTGCCCATGTGACGGGTATTTATACCCTCTCTCTAAAAATCCTTCTAAGCTTAAGTTCCCTTCCTACCCTTAATTATCTATTTATTATTCAAACTAGTCCTTTGACTTACCTTAAATACCATTGACTTTAAATTTCTTTTATAAAATTACATAACAAGCCCCAAAATTTTTAATTATAAAATAAAGTAATTTCAAAATTATTAAGTAAATAAGTTGGACCTTTTAATTAAAAATAAAACTCTTTAAATTAATAAAACATCATAAATAATCCATTTCAACTTATTTAAATACTTTTAAAAAATACTTATTTAAATTAAAATAAGTATAAAAATACGGGGTATTATAGAGTAACCCTTAACCGACCGAGTGACCCCTGACCAAGTAATCCCTAACCGACCGAGTAACCCCTAACCAACCGATCAATAATCCCTAACCAATCAAGTAACCCCTGATCGACTGAGTAATCCTTTACCGATTGAGTGACCCTAAACTAAGTAATTCCTGACCGACCGAGTAACCTTTGACCAACTGATCGAGTAACATTTGACTGACCAAGTAACCCTTGACTGATTGAGTAACTCATCTTCTTCTTTTTCTTTGATGGATCTCCTTCGAAGCTACTACAATGGCGCCGAGCCACCGACTAAGACAACGACAAATTTCTACCTCAAATTTTTAACCTTGATTTTCTACCTCGAATTTTCAATAATGAATTTCTACCTCAAATTTGTACTTCAATGGATCTTCTACTTCTTCTTCCATTTTCAACCTTTTCTTGCATCATCTTCAATTTCTACCTCAAATTCATTAAATCATCATAAAAAAAAAAAAAAAAAAAAAAAATTGTTCCAAAATTTATAAATTTTAATACACACATCATTAATTTGTTGAAATTTACTTTTGTAATTGCAAAAGTTTAGCTACATTTGTTGGGAGAGATAAATTGATTAGTACTTGAATATCGAATTTGTAGATTCGATGATAATGACGATGACAACAACAACAGTGACATAAATCGGCAAAAGTGGAACAAAGACTGAATTGATTTTCTTCAGAGTTCAAGAGAGAGAATTAGAGGATGGGGGAAGAAAATAAATTTAAAAAAATACTAAAAAAAATGTGGCTAGCCACATATGAAAATTTGTGTTTTTGTAAAGGTTGATATGATATCCTTTAAACAATAAAGAGTCTACAACGTAAAATTCTTCTAAAGAGAGTTATTTTTATTAGAAACTTGATGAAACCCGTCCGATGCAAGGTTTGTTTGAATTTTTAAATATAATATATATATATTTTTTTTTTGTGCTAAAATTTGTTATGTATATAAATAAAATTCCTAATATCAAAAGATAATATTTTATATTTAATCAATTCAAACTTAAAAATCTCATTCGCCAGTTTTACTTACGTGACATTTGAATTATTTAATTTTAATAATCTCTTATTTAATTGGCTACAACTAACATTTATATTCCTACCTGGCGCGCTAAGAATATTAAATCCTACATGTCTCTAAAACTCGGGAAAAAACTCCCCTTCATATATATAATAGATTGTAGGTAAGTTTTTTTTTTTTTAATTTTTTTATTTTTTAAACCTAGGTATAAATTTTAGCTACTTTATTTTAGTCAAGATTAGCCTTATCTTTTCATAAACTACTTTTATCTTATGCCACATCAAGTTTTAAATTAAATTATTTTTTAAAAAAAAAATAGTTACAATCTTGTTAAGACTCCTTAAGATTCAATTAATTTAGCCCTTCATTTTTCAATCTAATTTTAGATTTCTTTAAAATATGTACTATGAAGTATATTTTCCTTTTAACATACTATGCTCAATAGGATATCTTTGTTTATATAATACAGAAATAGGATAATTATATTATACTCCCTCCATCCTTTTATTACATGTCTGTATTCCTTTTTTGGATCATCAAAATTAAGTGTCTGTTTCTAGATAGTACTTTTTCACAATATTATTCTCTTTTTGATTATTTATCATCCTTTTTCTTTTTCTTTATTTTTTACTTTGGCATTGATCCCCAATACTTGCTTTCTGTTTCCTTATTCCAAACAACTTTTCTTTTTTTTAGGAACAATTCCAAACCACTTTTCCTTTATTTCTGTCTCTCTCTAACCCTACATGCATATATATACTCCTAATTATTAGTTATAAGAAATATGTAACTTTCTTAATTCCATGCAAAATGAGAATAGACATATAATAAAAAGACGGAGGGAGTAACAAATATTAATGTACAAACAACAACAACAAAAAGAGGATAATTTAATTTCCATAGACCATAAACAGCATATAGATTAGTTGTTTTTATTTTTTATTTATTCTTTTTTTTTTTTATTGTAAGAACACAAATTTAAAAAGTAGGTATAATATTGTAAGAACACAAATTTCTATGCTTTTTTTGGTAAGGAATGCCTAAATTATACAAAGTCTTGGTGTGTAAAATTATTTCCCGTTGTCCATGTACTCCATTTTATTTTTTAGCATTTCCAGTGGCAGTTGTTCGTTTCTTCCCCGGCTGTGTACCTACCATATTGTAACAAATTTTCAACACTTGAAACATCTATTATCCACCTTTTCCAAATTTCAACCATCAATTTATCCATGATGATGCTAATGATGCTGACTCTCTTACCAATTATATAAGAGCCTATCAATACTTTGCCCCATTTAAATCAAGCCATCTCTATCAACTACTAAAAGAGGACATCAACTACCAACTGCTAATATATATTTCTTTATTTTTTTTTAATACATTCGAAATAATCATGAGATAAAGGGCATCGGAAGAAAACTGATAAAGTATCTTCTAAAAGAAGCAAGTTATAAAACTCTTTTAAAGGTCAAATTATATACTATCAAAACCAGTTATTACTCTTATTAGTGTCTTTTAATTTGTAATTAACTGTAGTACCTCCGATTTTTTTAGTTGCAACTTTGAAATATTTTATATTTCTCATATAATACCCCGAAATTGCAACAAAAAAAAATCGAAGGCAGTATTATAGTTAGGTGTACATGTACCAATGTTTTTTTTCTTTCTTTTTCAAAATTAAGGGTACATTTAACTTTAAGTGTAACCGGAAACATAATAGCTAGTAGTGGTGCGTATAGGCATCCTTAATCTTTCTAATAATGAAAATTACCCTACTGACTATTCAAACATTAGGTACACCTTCTCTAAGTTGTGTAAGTGAAAACAAGATAGTGTAATCTTGAACTTTGTAAGACAATTATCCTACTAATTAAAACATAATTAATTGATAGAGTAATTTTAAGACTTAATAACACTAATGAGAAAGCTACCACTCACCTAGCTAACAAATAACATACAGTTACATATTACCCAAAAGGAACATAGCTTAAGAAAATTTAGACATACATATGACTCAATAAGAACAAATTTAGTTTATATATCTTGAGCTTACAAAAATTGACCTTAAATTTTAAACATATAAAACTTATACAGATAATAATAACCGGACCTTCCTCATAAATAAAAGATTAAATTTTTTTTAAAAAAACCCCTCTTAATTAAAGGAAATTCTTAGCTTTCCATAACTAATCCAAAGTAGTGCAAGATAGTTTTATTTTAATTACTATTTGTACACAAGCACTATTTATACAAAAGTACTTAAATACATATAACGTAAATACATTACTATAATTATTACTTGATTATCAAGATATAGTTTAATACTCCCCTTAATCTTACTTTTTTTTAGGGAACCCCTTAATCTTACTTTCATAGAGCTTAGCATAATTATTATGATATAGGATAATATTTAGAAGATTATATTTTATGGATAATTCCAAAGGTTGTGATTTCCTGAAGAATTCCCAATAATATCTTCATCATCATAATCAACATAGTTAGTAGGAACATCCAATCGAGGAGGGCTAAGGAGCATTCCTTGAGCCATATTTGCCAACACATTTGGCATATCAAATATCAAATCTTCATCAACAAAATATTCCTCAATTCTTTTCCCTCTATTGTTTCCATCACTTCCACCATCATTTTGACCACCAACACTTAGGTTTGCCCTTCTTTCAGAATTCAATGCATCCGCAGCAGCACCAGCTGCTGCGGCTGCAGAGGCAGCAGCTGCCTGGATGTCCCTCGGATAGGTGGAGTGAGGGACTGGAAGATAAGGGGAGGAGTCCGGGAAGTTGAGTTGGGTGTCGGGGCCCTTTAGAGCTAGGGCTGCCACATCATAGGCCACGGCAGCCATCTCCTGAGTAGAGTAAGACCCAAGCCAAATTCGAGTAGGCTTCTTAGGCTCTCGAATTTCTGATACCCACTTCCCACTCTTCCTACGGCGTACCCCTTTATAGGAAGAACGGGATGAGTTGGAGCATTCATGATTATTATCTTGGTTATTATGATGCATAGTTACAATAATAAAGGTAATAATAATAATAAAAAGTAGTGTTATTATGATGAGAAGGGTAAGTAGTTACCTGGAACATTCGTGGCGAGGAGGAAGCCATTTATATATGTGGTGATTCCTGAAGACTGGGATTAATCACAAGTGCAAACCAGAAGAAGATGAACTGCACTTACTCGTACTCGCTTGCGGCTAGCTGTAATTGCAAGAGATGGAAGGAGTGAAAATGGGTAAGTTTGGTGTAAGCCAGCTTTTCAAGTGTTGGAAGTGAAGGTAATATAAGTGCTTAGAAATGCAGATAAAAACGGCTTCCATCACTATAACAACAATAGTGGGGGATTTTTGTGTGCGAGTAAGTGTGTGAGAGTATGCTAATAGTGGGATATAATGGAATAAAACAGTATTCTGTCGTCCAAAAACGTGTGATTGTGTGAGGATAAATTAATTTGATCGATACATTTTGGTGGGCGTGATTTGATCGTTAATTTTGAAATGGATGTATGTAGGTACTAGGTAGAATTTTTGTTCAGTACTTAAATTATGGGTAGTTAGCTTAGGTTATTTAGTCACCTCCATCTCACTATTTCTTGAGGTATTGTCAATGTGCATCTTATGTATCCTTCTAGTGCCTTGTATAGGACTTTGTCCTGTCTTACAAAGACAACCAGGTGTTGATGTCGTAACTCGTCTATGATCAAATAGACTTTTGTCCTACATTACATAGTGTTAGTTGTCAAACTGTTAAGCAACTAGTTAGACTTGTTTTTGACTTAGTTGAGTGTTTGTTGGTAGTCCTATATTGAAAACTGCGTATAATATTTGATAATGCATATTAAATGGAAAATTTTAAACCCCTTGTGAAAAACCGTTTACAAATGTACTAGATTATGTTTTTCTTAGAGCTGAGGTTTTTTATCTTTGGATTCTATCATATCTAAAGCTGTTAAAAGACTCTCCTTGGATTGTTAGTTGAATGTGTTAGCTTAGCTTATGTTTTTCTCTTGGACATAAAAGGGTACTGATTTTAGTACTCTTTTTAGGATACAACTAATGGCTGAATATATCAATAATCACAATTCGCAATTTCATGAGTTAACTTCTTTCATGGAACAACTGTCTCATTTGCCCTGCCCTTGCCTTAACATCCTTTAATTGTCAATTGTACTACTTAAGAAAACTAGGTTGAATATAGTAGTCATGTCTTAGCAACCCTAGCTTAGCAAAGGTTTAGTCATAACAATCCTTAATTCACTCATAAATCAAAATATATGGTTTAAATCTCTAGTTTGGCATCATTGTTTATACTACTAGTACTAGTTGCAAAGTAGCCACCTACAAAGAAATTAAAAATGTGACAACTTACCTCTCTTGAACTTATAATTAACCTAACTTACAAATTGTGCACCTATTAGGCTTAAGATCGATTACCCATAAGCATTAATTTCCTTGTACACTAACTTTGATAAATGTTTGTGTTTTATAAAATGAACATAATAAAGAAACAAGTTTGTTACTGTGTAATGGGTAGGAGGAGCATTTGGACTTTACACTATTCACATACACTACTTTAATCAATGTTTGTGTTTTATATACTTAAGATTATACATAGCGTACAAATCTGATCATAATACTACCTCTATTTTTTTAAGTGCTCTAAATTAACAAGCACATTTGTCAACACGGGGCTAGTTTTGACCAATGATATACTTAATTGTCAATTAATAAGTATATACTAGTTTTTGGGCCCGAGCGATGCCCCGAGTTATTACATGAAACTAAATGATCATTAATGTACATTGTAATTTATGATTTTATTTTCTTGTAATTAAAATTTGTTATTCATATTGTCATTTGCTAAATATTTGTATTTAAAAGATTACATAAAGAATCACATATCTTGGTGGTAAGACATTTATTTCTTGAATTAAAAGTTGCGAGTTTAAATCTTGTGAAGACTTTTTTTTTTTTATAATTATTATAAGTGCATGACATGTAATGAATATCTATGGAAGAGAGAGCCACGTGGCGTTATGAGTACTTAAATAGATGATGTGGCGTAGTGAGGGGGCTTATGTGATACGTGGACGTTGTTAGAAACGCCTTTTAATATATTAGTATAGATTATAGTAAAGTCATATAAAGTAATCTGTAACAAATTACAAATTTAATTTAGTTCAACTAAATTAAAGTTTAGTGAATTAGTCTTTCTAATTCTTCCTCAGCTCCCTTAATATTACAACAATTACTATTTTAGGAAGTTTCACAAATATTGCAACATTTCCTCTTATTATATTGTTACATATTTTCTCTCTACTCATTACATATGGCCCTATATTTATCTCTTTCAGTCTCTCTCCTCACCTTTTAATATGTGTTTACTCTCCTTGTTGCAATATTAATGGGATGGAGGAAATATAACAGAACAACTTAAGTTATTATTTATTGATAGAGTATAAAACATATTTCTGGGCTTCAACCATCATTTAAGCTTTTGGTTGAATTGGTCCATTAACATGGTATCGGAGCCAACGTGACATAGAGGTCACGGATTCAAATCTCATCCACCCCCTCCTTCAAAGTGGAATTAATTCGCGCCAGGTAAGCTTTTGGTTGAGGTCCAGGGATATATTTTATACTCTATCATTTATCTCAAATTCAGGTACCAACTATACAACCTTAAGTCCTTAACTAATAAAGGTAGTCAGTGTTGAGTTATTGACAAATACAAGATGATTTGTAATACTCCATAGTAATTCATTAGTGAAAGAATCATATGGCACTGCATATATCCTCCTTAATGCATAATACATACATATATTGCCTTTTGAAAGTGACTCCACACATACATATGAACTGTGATGAATTTAGATGGAAGTCAGGCAGACAGAAGGATGAAAGGAACACGGAGGAACGGGGTTGCCGCGCCGCGTAAGGGGTAGGAGGAGGGCTTAGACTAGTACATAGCATAGCATTTGACAGTCAGCTGTAAGGCTAGGAGTTGCCGCAGCCGCGTTGTAGGAAAAAGAATTAATAAGTATTTGGCAGTCTTTTCTGAAGGTTACCACATCGCTATGTACATGATGAAACTGTGAAAGGTTTTTCAAACGCAACATTATTATACCAAGACTGTTTTGGGTGTGGTCACATACTTTTAATTAATTATTTAATTACATGGATTAGCAGCCGCTAATTATTAATCATTACTTTAATTACTGTCGGCATAATAGTGAATGTGTTGCGATACATAGTGGGCTTTCAAATGGATACTTACAGCCTTATGGGCTTTTCTTTGGACCACCAATGGCCTTTTTTCCTTTTGTTTATGGATTTTTATTTTAAGCATCCGTCCCAATTTGTCAAAATGAGAAACAAAAATAGGTTAAATTTGTAATTAAAAAAACTAATATGACTTTGACACTTGAGAAACATAGTTTCTTTCACATGTTGAGAAACTTGGAATCTCAATCAATTTGTTGTTGGTGTAGTAATGATTGAAGCTACATTTGCTAGGGAGGCCCCCGGCCCGCGTGTTCAATACCCCGCAACAATAAATGAGAGGGCATTCTTGAATCCAAATTAGCCCAAAGGATAAAGTGGATGAAACACCACACACACACACAAAAAAAAAAAAAAAAAAAAAAAAAAAAAAAAAAAAAAAAAAAAAAAATCTCGTTAAGGAATAAGGTCTAAAGGGCTAAAAGACTCTTGCAAATAAAAGATGTTCTATTTTTCAACTTTTATAGATTTTTACATTTCAGAGTTCATGCAACGCTAAAGTCCATTGCAATATAACCTTTAAACCTTCGCAATAAACATTTGCATTCGTTGGCATCGCCCATAATGTGGCAGTAAAATAAAATTTTTTGTAAGAAAAAAAAAAAACCCGACGCAAAGGTAATTTTAAGCATCCTGTACTTTTTTTTTCAATAGCAAATGTATTTATAAAATCACTACTAGAAAACACGTAAATTGCGACGGAAATTTTTCGTCGGAAAACCCATTTCCGACGGAATTCCGTCGCAACCGGTTATCGCCATAGTTTTTGTCGGAAAAACATCCTTCTCCGGAAGCACTTTACCGACGGAATTCAGTCCGTTGGAAGCGATTTTTAGGCCCGTCAAAGTCCGTCGGAAAATTCCGACGAACTGTTTTCCGTCGGAAAATTCCGACGAAGTGGTTTTAAAAAAATACGCTCACTGCCACCCCGTACCACCGCCTGCCGTCACCTACACCACCAGCTCCCACCTATCACAACAAGCCAAACCCTATCCCAGATCCCCACCCACGAACCAAAACAAACCCCGCCCACGAACTAAAACAAACCCAGATCCCCACCACCACCAGATCCCTATCTACGAACCAAACACAAACCACCACCAGATCCCCACCCACGAACCAAAACAAACCCAGATCCCCACCCACGAACCAAAACAAACCCAGATCCCCACCACCACCAGATGCCTACCCACGAACCAAAATAAACCCCACCCACGAACCAAAACAAACCTCAGATCCCCACCAATCCCGGCCCAAATCGCAAAACACAAAAAGAAAACTTACCACCACCACGGCACCACCAACCACCCACCACGGTTTCCTCTTTTCGCCGAAAAACCCAAAAATTATTAAAAAAAACACAAAACGTATCACCATCATGAAACCTAAAAATTGAAACTAAAAAATTAAAAACACATATACATACCTTTAAACTTGAATTTGCTTCAAAATTAAGCTTGAAATCGGTTTAATAAGGTCAAATTCGACCACGAAAACACTAGATCTAGTGTTTTCATGGTCGAATTTGACCTTAAAAAACCCTTAATTTGTTTAACACCATTCCTAAAGCCAAATTGACCACCACCCTCAAACCGCTGAGAAACTACAAAAAAAAAAAAAAAAAAAAAAAGAAGAGGGTGGAAAGAGAGGAGAAGAAAGAGGCGATAAAGAGAAGTGAGAAAAGAGAAGAGGAAAGGGAAAAATGAAGGGGGAAGATGAGAGAAGAAGACGAAATAGGAGAGAGAAGACGAACAGGAGAAGGGAGAAGAGGAGAGAGAACGAGAATAGGGAGAAGAAGAAAGACAAAGAGAGCAGAGGAGGCGGAAAGAGTATGTAAGGTTTTGTAAAAGTATAAGATTATTTAAAAATATTATAATATTCCGACGGCAAATTCCGTAAGACGGACAATAAATCCGTCGGAAAAAGACAATTTCTGACGGATTTTCGACTGAATTGTTAAATTCGTCGGAATTTTCCGACGAAATGAAAATCCGTCGGAATTTTCGACTTTTCGACGGAATAAGTGTCCGTCGGAACAAATCCGTCGCTATTTGCCTGTTTTCTAGTAGTGAATCAGAGTTTACAAAGTACAGAACTAGAACTAAGAATTAAAACATGGCTTTTAACACTTAAGCCTTTACAACAACTTTTGACATTAAAAATAAAATTAAACTTGAATTGGCCGGATATGTCGACGATTATGGACTCCTTACAAACTAAGGAGCAAAAACATACTACACACCATAAAGAGAGAAACAGAGAGAATCGAAACTGTTTGACCATGGCTAGCTTATCCTTATATGGTGGGATCAATTCAACACCAAGTAAGGTCATCAAATGGGACACTTGAACTAGTGACCT